CTAAAGCAGTTCCCTTTATGCCAACTAAGTGCTCTAATCTTTGCAATAGGATATCATGGTCGATAGTATCAAATGCAGCACTGAGATCGAGCAAAACAAGAATAGAGACAAGTCCCTTGTCTGAGGCTATTAGAATGTCATTTGTGACTTTAACCAGAGCTGCCTCTGTGCTATGATGTGTTCTAAAGCCAGACTGAAAATCTTCAAATAAATCATTGTTTTTTAAGTAATCGCACAGCTGTTTTGCCACCGCTTTCTCAAGAATTGTTGAGAGGAACGGAAGATTAGAAATAGGTCTATAATTGGCTAAAACCTCTGGATCGAGGTTGTGCTTTTTAAGAAGCGGTTTTATCACTGCTACTTTGAATGTTTGTGGAACATAGCCTGATAATAAAGACATATTCATAATATTTAATAAAGAAGTGCTAATTAATGGAAAAACTTCCTTCAACAGCTTAGTTGGAATTGGGTCTAACATGCACGTTGATGGTTTAGAAGAGAGAATCATTGAATTTAATTGTTCAAGGTTAATGGCTGAAAAGCATTCTAGTTTACTATCTAGTGTAATATTAGAACTTACGTTTCCGGGAGCTGTTGATAACACTATACTGGTCAAAGGCAAGAGGTCATTCATTTTGTTTCTAAGAGTAACAATGTTATCGTTAAAAAAGCACATAAAATCATTACTACTGAGTGCTATGGGAATAGAAGGCTCAATCGAGCTATGGCTCTCTGTCAGCCTGGCTACAGTGCTGAAAATAAATCTTGCATTATTCTTATTCTCATCTATTAATGAAGAGTAGTAGGCTGCTCTTGCTTTACGCAGTGCTTTCTTATATTCATTGAGAGTAATATGCCAAATTAAACGAGATTCTTCAAGTTTAGTGGAATGCCATATCCTTTGAAGTTGTCTCGACTTTTGCTTTATTTTGCGGGTTTCGGCATTATGCCATGGAGTTATTATGCTATGTTTTATTTTCTTCTTTTTCAAAGGAGCAACAGAGTCTAATTTTATTTGCAGCACATCTATAGCACTATCAACAACATGATCAATTTGGGGTGGTGTACATTTTGTATAAGTTTCCTCCCTTACATGCAGACATGCTATCGAGTCAAGTATTGGTGGAATCTCTTCCTTAAATCTCTCTGACAGAAACCAACATAATCTAATATAGAGTTAAATGCAACAGTAAGGCTATTTTTATCATCGTCAACATGAATATTAAAGTCATACCCTAGTTTTGTGTCTCTCCTCCGGTCCCCCTCCACCCACCCTGCTGGACTTTCTTTTTTTTTTGGGACGTCTGGGATCCGTCCCTTGAGGGGGGGTACTGTCACGATCTGTCTGTGTTGTGTTTTGTCTTGTCTTTTTCTGTCTTTGGTTTCCTGTTTTATTTTGAAAAGTGTTCACCTCCTGTTTTGCCTGTTGGTTTCTGTCTGTTTTCCCTCCCTGATTACCCGATTGTGTTCACCTGGTGCCCCTGTGTTTTCTCCTTCCTCCTCACCTGTCTCTTAATTGTTTGATTAGTCATGTGTTCATTTAGGTTCTGTGTTTTCTGTTAGTCTTTGTGAGTTCCTTGTTGTTGTTTGACTGTGTTCACAGGGAAGAGTTCTGTTTGTTTCTTTAAGCCTTGAAATAAAGGTGTTTTTTCTGTTTATCTGCATTTGGGTCCTGCCTGCTTCGCTCTCAACCCTGACAATAAGCTAGCTCAAGGTTTAGCTAAGGCAATTTATCATGGGCATACAGGCTAATATAGGCCTACTTTACTTAGGGGGAATACAGTACAATGTGTATCTAATAACGTAATCGCAATCGCCACATTGATATGCAAATTAGCCGTTAACTAGGCCTAATTTAAATGTGCAAATTTGAATGCAGTTACCAAGGCATTGCAGGTGAAAAGGATAAAAAAAACATAGGACCTCACAACTTCCCCAGATAGTTACTTACGTCAAGTCAGTATTTTCCCCGGAAATGTTATGTTTAAATGCAGATTAGCTTTAAATCTATAGATGAATTCAGACATAACAATATTTTTGCCTGTAATGTCCTGCCTTAAACAGTAACTTCATAATTTTGATTGTTTGCTGCTCATTTAATAACTATTAATTGTACTAGTTGGCTGCTCTTGTGCTTAGTGAATACTAAAGAATACCATTGTCTCTGTGTAACTGATTATTTTTGTAGAATTATGTTGAGTATTAAACAATTGCGTGAGGGTATTCAAATAAATTGGTCAGTAAGTCAGAGATGTGCAACTATTTTTTACTTTTTGTTTTAACAATTTTTTTAATAAATTATTATGGGAAGTGCCCTTTTTCTCACTTGAGCTCCTGCCCCCCAAAATGTCTGTGCACGTCCCTGATACACTATACAGAGATGCTGTATGATAAAACCAATGAGATTTTGGAACATTGAACAATGTAAATATATTCTAGTAGACCTCAACAATGGAATTATGATCAGTAGAAATGGCCATGACAATATAACAATATAAACACTTTTTCTCAGTTTTGTTTGTCTCTGTAGTTTGATCTTTTAAGCCTCTCACAGAAATAAATGTGTTTAAGTAGCATTAAAATAAGTATTTCCAAGCTTGTAACAATAATTTTGCCTGTAGCCTACACTTTGATTAAACCACTGCAATGACTAGTCTGAGCTATTATGTTCCTGCTATACTTATCAATTTAGAAACTATTAAGCGACAATTGACTTTAATTGCTCCTTTGTCTGCCTCACTTATAGGCTGTGGACACTGCAAAAACCTACACACAATATGAATGGATAAACCCCCTGCAAAAGAGATGGTACCACACAATACTGAGGCTGTTTTGTTGTTACAAGACATAACTGTATTGCATTTACATGTTGACCCTGAGAGCAACCACTTATACTACGATACTGAAGATCATCTCAACATGCTTTCAAGATCACATTTTCTTTGACTTTTATATATCAACAGAAGTATTTTTTGTGGTATAGCCCATAATTACAAGTGTCAATGGGCTCAACAAGCCTACGGTTACTGATCCAGCCGAAATTCTCAACAGGACAAGGAACATTTATAGACGAAACAAAAAACTGCATGCTTGCATACAGTATATTCAGTAACTTATGACTGAGCATTGAGGGGGTAGGGTCTTGGAAAAGGGATCTGTAAGTTACCATATTAAGATATAATAATGTTGTATGAAATGTGAAATTGCAACTAAAAATACAAAAATGTTTATGTTCACTTGTTTCTCTAGGTTATTATGATATAATATACAGTATTCAAATCTTATTTGGCTCTTGCTGTTTTTCTGTTTTTCTGATGTGTCTCATCTGCGACATGTTAACTTGCAGTAACCCTGCGCTTCTCTAACATCTGTCAGGCTGCTGCTGAGCCTTACAGTACTTGTAAAATGTGTTAGGGCGCTAGACAATATTCTATCCATCACTAGTGGAACTGTTGCCATCATGTTGTATTTAAAGGAGAAAATAAAATTAACATATAATGCAAGCAGTTAATCCAGCTTTCAATACGCAGACAAGCAAATCAGTACGCCTCCGTCGGCGTAGAGAGGAGGTTTACCTGTGCACCTGTGCTGTGCTGCTGTGGGGAGGTTTTTTCCCCGGGAAGTCGCGGAGAGACGGAGCGGCTTCGCGTTCGGGCTGCGGCCTGCTTTACACCTGCTGTAGCGGAGGCCTGTATCCACCTGCTCCACCTGTCGTGCTCTACGGTGCCGAGGACGTTTTACCACGGGGATATCGCGGAGAGACCGGAGTGCCTCTACGCCTCGAGCTGGGCCTGCTTCGCCTATCCTGCTGTACTGAGGAGGTTCTGCACCGGGGATATCGCGAAGAGACCGGAGCGCCTCCACGTTTCGGGCCTGCTTGCGCGCCTATCCGGATGCTGTGCTGGTCTGGGAAAATGGCCCATATCGTGATTCTGCTATGCCTGTTAGCTATTTTGGATAATGAGAAGTTCTCTCGTTATCCTGAGAAGTCGACTGGATTCAGGTCTGTTCTACCGCCCGCAGTGGACATCCCCTGTAAAGGTTTGGATGTGTTACACAGACAATTACTGGTTGCCTTGTCACAGACATTCAGTTCGACAAATGTTTGTCTTGCTCACTTGCCTGCTATGATGGTTCTTCAGGACTGCTTCTTGAGCTCAAATCTCACTTTTGCAGAGTTTACTGGTGACTTTAAAGCAGATGACAATGTATGTATAGGCTATCGGTTAAGAGGAAAAAGTGCTTGGTTTTTTTGTTATTATTACTATCAGGGAATGTACAACTAAACCCTGGACCGCCCAGCAGCAGTAGTAGTCAGATTGCTACTCCTGCTGATTTTAATTAGAGATCTAGGTTGGGATTCATTCACTTAAATGTGCGCAGTCTGTTACCTAAGTTAGATGTTGTCCGCATTTGGGGGAGCTCGACTGATGCTGATGTCATTGTCTTATCAGAAACATGGCTAGATAAATCTATTTTGGCCTCTGACATCTACTTAAATGGTTATAGTGTATATCGTACCGACCGTACTACACTCAAAAAACTGACTTTTTGGTGTAGTAAAATATATTTAATTAACTGTCGTACTTTTTACATGGTAATATCAAGATTCACAAAGAACTAGAATGTATTAAGTAACATTTTAAATGTATACACCTTTTATTCATGTAATACATTTACAGTGTGGGAGGAGTAGGCTACGTTTTATTATATATTTACTCAGACTATTTAAATGATTTATAATCACTGCTCATAAACCTTAAAATACTAAGTAAATGTTAATCTAAAACCATAGTAGCTGTTTGAATCCGCGCATGCGTCTTGACAAGACAAGATACCCGCGTTTTTGGACGACGGTTCAGTTGGGTTTGCAGTTGCACATTTGAAGTAGGGGTGGGCGATACCACAAAATCTGGATTCGATCCGATACCAAGTATTTCAGGGCCAGTATCGCCGATACCGATATCGATACCGATACTTTTTTTAATGAAAAGCGTCTTATGTACTTTCATATAGGGGAGAGCTGCATGACATGATTTTTGAGCTGAAATCATCATAAATAGACTAAATCTGAATTCATTTTCATGAATAAAGACAGGACAGTTTTTATAGACAAATACACGTTTTACTTTTGCAAATTTAAAGTGCAAACATGAAAAATAACAATACAAAGTGGCCAAAGTAGCGAACTGTCTTCTTGCACACATCACAGTTCGCTAAGTTTTAATGGCCAGTGAAACACAACGCTGCTCTTTCTCTCAGCCATCATGCGCGTGTGTGTGTTGCACTCGCGAGTCGCTGGCTGCTGCTGTCCTGCCCTGCTGGCTGCTGTCAGTCAGCTTGATAATCGGCGTTCAGACAGGGAGCCTCGAGGAGAAGAGGACAGCAGTGGAGAGAGAAGTAAAGAGCATATACTTGTGTTCGTCTGCACATAGTTTTTTGAAGAAATTGACGAGTAGAGGAGACGAGAAAAAAAGTATAACAGTATCGATCCTATTGGCTCTAGTATCGATATTTTGAAACGTAACGTAATATCGGAAGTATCGATATTTTGGGATCGATCCGCCCACCCCTAATTTGAAGGCTGTCGGAGGAGCTGTATGGCTGGAAAAAGAAGTGTTGGTAAGTTATTGTCTCTCTGTTTAAGACTTATGATAATATAATGTGTCTTTGTGCATAATAGCCTGATTCTTGTTTGCTTGAACCATGTTAACGTTTCTGTGCATTAGTTCACAAAGTTGAGAGATTATGTTTTAGATATGTTACGTGCTGTTAGCTAACAGCTAACCTTAACTGTAATTTACCAGATAATTTTTTTTAAAAACACTCACATGCATCTAAAGAAGGTTCCACGTTTTATTTCACGTCTATAACACTAAGGGCATAACAGTTGGAATAGCATTGTCAAAAGCAGAGGAGAGGAAAAGTAATGTTAGCTGAGTTAGCGTTCAAGCTGATTCAAGCATTCTAGAAAGAGAGATGGCCTGCTTTGTTTTGTGAAGCTGAGGTAGGTGAATCTATACATGCTCCATTGTACAGGAACAAATTAAAAAAAGATAGATACACATGAACATTAATTAACTTGAAACACTAGCTTGTTCATTCCACCATTAATATCTGCACGATTTATAACACCCTATACATAATTGACCCTGCCTTAATTTTGTATCAGACTTATTGGCCCAGTTCCTCGTGCTTGTGATTACTTTGTCACTTCAGATAAAGGCGGAATTCGGGCGAATAACTACAATTTCGCTGGAGCAGAGCTTCATGTACAAACTCGACCACTACACACCAAAACGTATTGCCCTGATGAAGGCCAAGGGAGGAGTCCTCAGGACCAAGCTGAGGCCGTTCCTGGAAAAACTGAGTCAGGTATGCTTGTTCAAAATTGTGCATGATCACATTTTTTTTTTAAGGATGTCAGACCTCACTCACACACACATCACCCAATGCCCAATGCTTACACATACACAGCACACATCCTCACACTCGGTTGTTTAAATGCCCCTGCATGGTCCATCTTTCCATGGCTCTTGCTCAGTTTGCTCAAATCACTCCTCCTCGCACATGTATGCTCTTGTTTTCTTCCTTGAAAGTTTATTGTGTATGAATATTAGTTCAGTATTGACACAATATTAATCTCTTCACAGAACCAAAGCATTGACATGAGGCGTGACTCTGTCATCTGCAGCCTCATACTATACCTACCTTGGCGAAAAACAACAGGATCTTTTTGAAGATTGCCTGGTAAAGCATGATTATTATTTTTTTTTTAATGACACTGTTGTAACATTTTAATGTTAAAACAGGAGGTCTTTAGAGGGAGATAGCAGCTCAACAGTTTATGTCATATAGAAGTGGTTTACATCATCTGAAAGCTGGGTCAAATTGTTGTAGTCACAAATCTATTATAAACATAGTTTATTAATTTCAATTAATTAAATTGTAATGTTTTCAGTGTATTACGGCTCAGAACATTGGTCCAAGTATTTGAGAGATGCTATCCTGCTCTATTATGTCCCATAACTTGTTGCAGCAATGTTTGTGTTGATACCATTTAATACACAGATTTGCTGCTAAATTTAAGCATATTAACCACAAGAGAATTGCCAAATATGGTCAAAAATTCCTTCAAAGTATCACATAAGGACATCAAGACATAGAATAATCTATGCTGTGATTTGGAATAAAAAAATCTGAATTATTTTTAAATTTCTGCAAGAATTGCATTTTTCCGCGATTGGATGGTGAGCACTTCTGTTCTGGAAACTGCTCAGAAACCCCCTTTTTGTAAATAAACCTAGGAATGCCATACATCCTCTGAAAGCCCTCCATCTCTAGTTTATGGCTGTGACTATCCTAGAAGCCACAACAGCTCATTTTATACTGTGAAGTCAATCTTCAAAGTTTCACTCCAATGGAATGGCTCCTACATCATCACACATGAATATAATTGGGCTCATTGGATCCACATATCCAATTCATGCAATTCCAAGACCCCAGCATGCAAAAATATTAAAATACAACGTTTTAAGAAAGGCGAAAAAAACACATTTATACTGCATGCACAGAACTGTATGTTTTTCGTCCCAAACTGCCTGTGATCAGCATGAAGTGTCAATGTGTGTAAAGAGGAGACTCGTGGGTATCCAGAGAACACATTTTCATTCAGATATCTTGAGCTTAAAGGTCAGGGGATGACCCCTTTGAATATGGTCATGTCATTTTCCCCTCGCCAAAATGTTGCCTATCTTTGCAGCGTTATTTAGCCTCTTTGCTGACCAGCATCACATGGGGTGGACAAGGCACCAATGGATTCCTCAGATCCTCATTTGATATGATATCATCTTTACTCTAGCTTCAGAACTGAGCCCTCTGAGCCTCTGAAAGACAGTACAATTGGCCGGCCCGGATTAGGGCCGTCAGAGTTAATGATGGTCTTTAGCACATGTGTTCATTCTGCCCTGACAATGAAGTCACTTTGAATGATTCAAGCATTCTATGTTTCTCACTTCATTTTTCTTGTAAATGGTATGCAGGAGGACAGCCGCAGTGATGCAACTGAACACGTCTTGAAGATCCTGGTTGTCCATGGTGCCAATGAAGAGGATCCAGTTGATGCAGCTCTCCTGCTTGAAGGCAGAGAGATTATGCCAGGATGCGGCAGTACTGCCAAAGCATGCACGCTCCTTATGGGGCTGATTTATGCGTTAAACTTGGCATACCCCCCAACACTGCGCTACACTTTTGAGGTGTTCCAGAAACTTTTTCTCGGACTGGATGGGATTAAGCTGACCCCAAAAGTGCAAGCTTTGAATGTGAACCTGCTGTCTTAAAGACATGGAAAAGCCGTCTATTCATATCAAGTATGTTCTTGCATGAGGCCCTTTGTATGTCGCTGCAAGTTTAAATGTATTTGACAATTGACTTCATTTCTGTCTGATTTGAAACTTTGAGCTCGCAGACTTGGAGGAAGTTACACATGTAAAGTAATTGTCAAGCTTCTTCACATGCAGACTTCTCCACAGCGTTTTCTCACCTGCCTCTGAGCTTTCATGGTTCTGGCTCTTGGGCTTTGTGAAAGCTGCTGCTTAGAGATCGTTTGCATGCAGTTATTATAATGTTAATGTTGTCGGTTAATAGTGATTGAATTGTTGACAAAATAAATTGTATTATTGTATTTTAGTTGTGCGATTTGTGCTCAATGTATATTAAATGCATATATTATTACATTTATTAGGTAACATTTTTCAAAAGTAAATGAGTAACAATTACATAATTAAAGTGAGTAATATAACTTCAAACAAATGAGTAATTCAACATTTTAAACTGAAAAAATATGATAAAATCTACTTATTTACTTCATAACAGTAACTATTACAGATATATAATATTTACTTAATAATTTGATAACAGTGATGTTCCTGTACATGAAGAAAATAATTAGACTTTACTTAATTAGTTCAAATAAATATAATGTGTAACTTCAACATTATTAAGTAACATTTACTTAATATTTTCACCAATGTTACGTCTGGTGATAAGTACATTTGACTTGATACTGGAAAGTAAGTTCTACTTGATATTACAGCAGTGAAATATACTTAGAAAAAGTAAGTGCAAATACTTGCTAAGATTTAATCAAGTAAATCCTACAAGTTGTTTCTTTCAGTGTAAAAAAGGTGGTGGCATTGCCATTTATGTGAAAAATAAGTTTTGTGTAACCAAGATGGTTTCCAAATCTATTAGTAAACAACTAGAATTTTTAGCTTTAAATATTGAAGTAGCAAAGGGGCAACAGGTCATGGTGGTGGGCTGCTACAGACCCACCTCAGCTGTCAAGGACTCTTTATCTTCTTTGGCAAAACTTTTATCTCAACTAGACTACAAGGAAATAGTACTGCTTGGTGATTTTAACTGGGACTGGTTAACTGCAGTGTCAGAGGATTTTAAAAACCTTTGTATCTCTTTAAATGTTACTCAGATTGTTGACAGTCCTACTCGCCCTAACATTAAGTCCCCAAATAAATCCTCCCTAATTGATATCATTTTAACTAATGTTCCCCATAAATACTCATCTGTGGGAGTATTTGCGAATGATCTGAGTGATCACTGTGTTGTAGCCACAATTAGGGACACTAAGGTCCTAAAAGTTAAACCTCGCATTATCAGTAAGAGAGACAAAAAACATTTTGTTGAGCAGGGTTTTGTGCATGATCTGTTTGGGTTTGATTGGGGTAAAATCGATCTGTGTCCTGATGTAGAAACTGCATGGTCTTATTTTTATCTTGGTTTTATGGAGATCATTGATAGACATGCACCCCTGCGTACTTTTAGAGTGAAGGGACGAGACAATCCTTGGTTTTCTGCTGAGCTGTCTAGTCTCCTATATGAGAGAAACAAGGCCTGGGCAAAGGCTAGGAAATCAGGCTCAGAGGTAGAATGGCTGCGTTTTAGGCAGCTAAGAAATAGCTTCACATCGCAAATCAAAAGTGCTAAATCAAAGTACTATCTGTCAGTTACCACAAAGAATCTGAATAATCCTGGAAAATTTTGGAAAGCCATAAAATCGATATCCACCGGTGATATCCGTAATGAGCTACCTCCGTGCCTTACCACAGCATCTGGCACTATATCGGACAGGGCCACTATGTTAAACTGTTTTAATGAGCATTTTGTGTCTTGTGGCTCTCTGTTTGATTCTGTCACTAACTCTGCTTCTGTGAACACCACAGCCTGTAACTCTGAAAAAGGTATTTTGGAAAACCCTTTTAGTTTTACTCCTTTTACTGTTGATGTTGTTCGTGAAGTTTTAACCAAGTTAGATCCTAAGAAACCGGCTGGCCCGGACAATTTAGAGCCTTTCTTTTTAAAGATAGCTGCTGATTGTATTGCTCTACCGCTCACTACTCTTTTTAACCTCTCCCTCAGCACTAACACAATTCCAAAATTGTGGAAGTCAGCGTATGTCCTGCCTCTACTAAAAGGTGGGGAGGCCACTTTATTAAGTAATTATAGGCCCATCTCAAAATTATCAGTTCTGGCTAAGGTGCTCGAACGCCTAGTGAGTGAGCAGGTAAAGGTGTTTTTATGTACAAATGACATCCTGTCTAAACATCAGTCAGGCTTCAGAAAGCAACACAGCACCATCACTGCGACAATGAAAGTGGTGAATGATGTGGCGAGTATTTTAGACAATAAGCAGAGTTGTGCAGCTCTATTTATTGACCTGTCCAAAGCGTTTGATACCGTCGATCATCACATTTTAAAGCAGAGGCTAGCCAGTATTGGCATATCCAGCCATGCAGTGGGGTGGTTTGAAAACTACCTCTCTGAAAGGTCCCAATGTGTTCACTTTGATGGGCTGTCTTCTGAGTGGTTAAATATTGCTAATGGTGTTCCTCAAGGTTCTGTTTTAGGTCCACTTTTATTCTCCATCTACATCAATAGTTTAGGTTAAAATGTGGATGAAGCTACTTTTCATTTTTATGCGGATGATACCGTGATGTATTGTGCAGGTCCCTCCATTAAGGAGGCTGGTGTTAAATTACAGACTGTTTTTAACATTATTCAGACTCAGCTCTCTGAATTAAAGCTTCTTTTAAATATTGAGAAAACCAAGGTAATGCTCTTTTCTAAAGCTAAAAAGACACCAGAGCATGTTTTAGATATTGTAACTACACAAGGAACAAAACTTGAAGTTGTTGCCTGTTACAAATACCTTGATATCTGGCTTGATGATTGTCTCACTTTTAAACTTCATGTCAATAACCTGCTTAAAAAGCTGAGGGTTAGGCTAGGTTTCTTTTACAGGAACAAGTCCTGTTTCTCGCTTGAGGCCAGGAAAAGGCTATTCACTGTGACCTTTTTACCTGTGCTGGACTATGGTGATTTGATTTATATGAATGCACCTGCCAATTGCCTGATCAAGTTAGATGCTGCGTATCACAGCGCGCTAAGATTTGTGACAAACTGTAAAGCATTAACGCATCACTGTACCCTGTATGCAAGGGCTGGTTTGCTTTCACTAACTGTACGGAGGCTCAGTCACTGGTACATTTTTATTTACAAAGCCATGTTAGGGAAACTTCCATCCTATATCTGCTCCCTGATCTCACAGCAAATTGTAAGTGGCTACTGCCTGAGATCGCATGCTGTAGTTTTATTAAATGTGCCAAATGCTAGGACTGTCTTAGGGAAGACAGCTTTTAGATGTGCAGCGCCACTGTCTTGGAATAGTCTGCAACTGAAATGGAAACTGAGCAATCTGGTGCCACTAAATGTTTTTAAAGCTCGGTTGGATGCTACTCAATCGGAAGCTGTTGGTACCTGTACATGTGGATAGTTATGTAAATTGTAATCCCTGTGATGATGATGTAAAATGTCCTTTTGTTGTTCTGTTAATGTTTTTATGTTTCATGTGGAACCTACTTGAGCAGGTCTCCCTTGTAAAATAGTTCAATGATCTCAATGGGATTTATCTGGATAAATAAAGGTTTGAAATGAAATGAAATACAGGAAAAGAGCCAGCTTGTTGAGAACACAGAGCGACAAAAATAGAGAATGTCTTTGCTGACAAGTAGCAGAGGTTAAATGGGGTGAATTCATATTTCTGAAGTAACTTAAGAAGTTCCTGGGTTACTTGGCACCCATCAAATTAATGGGTCTTGACTTGTGGTTATGTTTCATAAATGTAAGGCCAACCGCTTACACGTAGTAAAACTTACATGCGTTTGATGTTATCTTTCAAGGTCCATGTATTTTCTGATCGCCTGAACCATCACTTTAAGATGAACGTGAAATAATGAAAAGGAAATGGTACAAGAGAGAGGCTCAGAGTCAGACACTTGAGTTCATATGCATTTGATTAATCTGGCTTTGGTTGTATACTGCAAATAACATGACATTTATGAGTGCTGTATTACTTTGCATGAGCTCATTCATTTTTTTAATTTGATTTGAAATGAAAGGGGATTAAATAATTTCCTTCATTTTTATAATGCTTTACCAGTGACTCACAAAGAATATCTTTGGTTAAAAATATAGTTATACTACTTTTAATTCATGATGTTGGCCAAGGGCACTTGAATAGTGTTTACAATTTCATACAATTCAGTCCTTCTGCAATGACTCAGGGATTTAGTTATTTATTGGAAGCAACAGGGAAACCAAGCTATCAAAAAAACATAAGCTATACCAGAAAGTGTCTCTTTAAGATCAAAGTTTTAGCTTGAAAATATGTTCTTCATGTTAACCTTATCTGCTGTATTATTATAAAAAAAAAGAAAAGAGATCAAACAAGCTTGAATGGGCTGTTTTTGAGTTTAATTTAAGAAAAGCTGCCAGTGCAGGTCTTGACATCTGAACATTAATTCAAATAAACACAAGATAGTAGTTTTGAATAAACCGGCATTGCACTTTTTTGTAAGTTCCTTTGCAAAAAAAAACATCAGCTAAATTAAATGATATAGTCATTTTACAAACTGAGTTGGCATATTAGCTTTTACATTATACCTCAAGGAAATATCAGAAACTACAGCATATGAGGGCATCTAGTTTCCAGAGTTGGGCAAGTTACTTCCAAAATGTAATATATTACATATTACTTATTACTGTCTTTTGAAAGTAATAAGTTACATTACAATATTATTGTCTCTGAAATGTAATGAGTTACACTACTTTTTAGTTACTTTCACCAAAATAACCGCAAAAGAATGGCTAGTTATTTTAAATGCTAAAATGTAGTTTAGTGCAGCTCATTAGACATCCAGTGAAGGGCAATGTGGTATAGCATAACAACTGTGTAGGCCCTTAAGGCTACTAACAACTTGTATTACACAGCTTAGTTGAATACTCGATTCTGATTGTAAATTCTTAACATGTGACACGTTGTTAATACAGCAATACAGACCACTGTCAAGGACTACAATGAAGGTCGCTAAGGAGGATCAAGAAAGAGAAAGGAAAAGAGGTTAAAAGACGGAGCGCTGGACGTCAGATAAACCACCAGAAGAAGGCAGAGAGGAAGTAAACACTAACAGGACACAGAATGGGCTCTGTAGTGTGTTTAGTATATAGCCATGTACAGGCCCGGTTCCAGAACAAAATGACTCAGGGTGCCTCTGAGATT